AGTGGTTGCAATTACCTTTGCGACCACTTTTGCAACCATACTTTTTCCTTTTTTGGATTACGGCACTAGTCTTTAGCCGTCTTGGAACGAGCAGGAAGCGAATTATAGAAAGCCAACAATCCCTCTGTCAAACGAAAAGATACTTCTTTCCTTGGATTATTCTTTCGTTGATAAGTTAAAGTCATGCCATGTTGGTAAGCATGCAAAGCGGAACGGAAGAAATAACTTAGATTAGGGTGCTGATAATCACCGGCTAAATGTTGGCTAGCTACACAGCGAAAAGAGATTTTGCCTTGAATATTATTAGCAAATTCGTTTTTAGCGGTGTTTTTTTTGTTGGGAGGTAAATTTGACTGCTGCTTGGGACTCCTAATTAACTTTCTCATACTTGGCTAGAACTAGTGCTTTTTGATTGATTTAAATAAAAAGATTGGGCACTGTTTTTGGATAAGGTAACACTAATGCGGTTAGTGGATTCAATATGTTTGGTGGAGACTGAAAGGACACTAAAAGAGGTGTGGTCTTGGGTTAAAAAGGCTTTGAGGTCTGATTTAGATACTTGTTTGATTTGAGCCAGGTCATTCAATAGTTTTTTGGGTGTTTTGGCTGATGATTTAAAACCGGTAGTTGTGTTACCATTACTACTTTTTTATCCAAATTTAACAATTATTGTTAAAATAGCACTCCTTATACCTTTTTCCAATGCACATGTTGAAAGAATATTTTCACAAACAAATTTGATAAAAAACAAATTGAGAAACAGAATGCATCTAGATACATTGAATAATCATTTACTAAATGGTCCAGATATTCAAGATTTTAATTTTGAAAAAGCATATGAACATTGGACAAATAAAAAAGTAAGAATAAATAGTTATTCAATATAAATTTTAAATTTTATAAATAGTTATTCAAATTTTAAAATTTTTTTTCATTAAAAAATTTTTTTGGTGATGATCAACAAATGTGCGCATTTTTTATGTAACACACGCGCCCGCACACAATTTCACACACTGGACACAAATATAAATGTGAATTGTATTATATACGCGTTTATTAAAATTTTTTTTGGCAATGATATTCAAGCCAATAAGATTCGATTTTTGTGTGATATTTCGAAGGGAGTTCATCACAAAAATTAGCCAATGAAATCAAATGTCCACTATGCTTGCAAATAAACAATCCTCATTTAAAGAAACATTTCATGCAAAAAAAGGATACCCTTACACTCCCTCTGACCTAGAGCACTTGACTAATAAGACTGCATTGTTTTTGCTAGATTATTTTCACCAAGTCTTCCAAAATATCAATGCTATCACCAGTACAACAAATAGCAAAAGCAAAAGCAAAAGGCAAGGAAAAAAGAAAAAGATAAATATAAAATACTAACTTGCTGTTTTAAACAAAGAGGTTGAAGTAAGATGCTTACCAACAGGTTACAGCGCTGGATTCCCTCCCTCGCCAGGTCTTTGTGATGATTGCCATAAAATTTTAGATGAAAATGGTGCTGGTACTGTATTGATTTGTGGTCATGGTTTTCACTGGCATTGCCATGGTAAAATGGAGTATACATGTTGACATTGTGAAGAGTACTATAAAAATGGAATAAACAAAAATGTTAGTTCATTTTTGCATAGACTTGAAAAAGGTGTTGACACATTTACTGACAATGATGGAATTGAAGAAGTAGAAGAATCTCAAGAAGATTCAGAAGATAATATAGAAGTAGAACAACATTCACAAGAGAAACACAAAATTGCATCCAATTTACAAGATGCATTAGATTACGTAGATAAATGGTAGCAAATTAATAATAACATATGTTTGAAAATTTATATTTTGTTAATTTACCTTTGAAATCAATAGCTTTCTTTGTTAAAAAATAAATATATACATGAATTAGTACTCCATACTTCTTATTCATCTATATACTCATAAATTTTTATAAAATATCTAGTTAATTAATGTCATGTAATCATAATATTCACATTAATTTTTTATGTCACTGATTCATAAACAACTTATCTTAGACTGAGAGCCATTTCCAAATTGTTCACACATTCACTGATTAACCAATGTATTCTTCATGTTTCTGCTTTATCTAATACTTATTTAATATAAAAATTGCTTATAAGGTAAACTCCTTCAAACACTTGATCTGGAAATTTCAAAAAGTTGACGAAAGTATAAAGAACAATATTAATAATAAATAAAAAAAATTTCTAAAATGCAATCAGGTGAATGATTAATTTTCATATATATTTTATTGTAAAAATTAATATAAATATTTGTGTAACATTTGTGGTCAAATTCAGACTTCCACTATACTTTTGTTGCAAGCATGCCCCATATATATATTCCAGGATAATGAGAGTTTAATATTAAATATTTTCATCTGAGGAGTAATCAATTCTCCAAATCCTTAAAGATGCATCATCTGAACAAGAAGCAATCTAAAAAAAAAAATAAAACAAATTTTTAAAATATTTTTTTTTTTAAAAAAAACCCCCATTGTGATGAATATGAATCTTACTATATCAAAGTCTTTTGACCAACTTAAACTTGTGACTTCATTATCATGACCTTTCAATACAATTGGACTCACATCAGGATAATCTACTTCCCAAATATATATATTCTTGTCAGTTGATCCACAAGCAAGATATTGATCATTGGGTGAGATTGCCATCTTAACATAAAATGATGAACATCGAAATTCTGGAGCAGTGAATCGAGTTAATGGTTCACCTAAATTCATTGAATCATACACATAAACACTAAAATAAAATACAATCAATATGTAAATAAATATATATATATACTTTGTAGTCATTGTTAAAAAAAGACTTACTAATGATCGGTACTATTTGCATATAATTTTGAACCATCATTATCTATTAATAAGGCTGATATACCTGTTTTTTAAAATTAGATCTTCAAATTAATTTTTTAAAATTATATGGATAATGTAAAGAAGAAATCAGATTTCTTACCATGAGGACGTATTGCTGTAGCTCCACTAATTGATACTTGAACTGGGTTTGCATTCCTTAGACCAGAATGTTTTCTCAAATCCCAATATTTTATAATACTATCAAGTGCTCCTGATGATGCCAATAAATTTTCATCATGTTTTAAAAATTGCACTCCAGTAACACTACTTGTTGGTTTACTCCTTACAGGAAATGAGCAGGATTTTCTTCTCCTATGAGATTCTAATGAGTGTGCAAATTGTATGCTCATTGCAGGATTATAAAGCATTGCTCCAAAGTTTTGAAGCCCTACAGTCCTTATGTCCCAAATAAATATGTTACCATCTCTAGAAGCTGTTGACCATAAACATGGATTCAAGGTACTATAGCTTATAGATTTAATACTACATGTATGTCCACATAATATTGCTTTAGGTTGCTGAGATTCTACATCCCATAAACGTGCTGTTTGATCACCTGAGGCAGTAACCTTTAATTCAAAAAAATTAGATTTTTTGGGAATTTTCATTAATGGCTTTAATTATTAGCATTTCATGATTTTTATATTTAAAAGTACCAAAGATTTATCATCATGGCTCCACATAATATCAAAGATTGCATTATCATGAGCACGGAATTCAATTCGAATCCGTTCTAAAAGTTAATTGATATTTTAAGATTATTATCAATTAATAATTGATACAAAAGATGTTATTATTGCTAATACTACTAATACCACTGCTATTATATATATTTTTTATTAATTACCAGTTTCAACTGTATTATCATATCTTGTATCAATTAATCCTACTGTTCCTTCTTCGTCAGCTACTGCCAGATATTTTTTTTCATGTGCAACTTTTTAATAATAAATATTTAGTATTATAATTAAATAATTGAATTTGCTTTATCAAAATGACAATATTATTAAGTATATATACCATTAGTAAATGAACAAGCAAATGGTGCAATTAATCCTTGTTCACCTGTGAATCTAAATGCATCCCTTTGATTATTTATAAAATCTTTCATTAAATAACGTGTTGATGCTTAATGTTAAAAATAATTGAATAATCAAATATTATTAATATTATTAATATTATTAATATTATTTATTATAAATAAATAAATAACATACAATTCCATCTTTTTGATGCTTGAACACTATAACCTCTTGGGTTTCCATAAAGCTCTCTATTATATAGAGCTATTATTGTGTTCAATCCCATATAAGGTTTAACAGTCTTCTTAGTAAAAAAAGATATTTTATTCGCATCTTTATTATTATCACTATTGTTGGTAAATGAATTTCTTTCGTGTAATGTTGGAAAGGAAGTTTGTATTTGAGGGATAAATAAATCGTGTCTTATTCTTTTCATTGGTGGTATTTCATTAATGTCAGGAACAGTTTCTTTGTTATAAAGGTTATTTTTGCTGCTGTTGTCAGCCCGAGATAATATATCTGTTAATGGAGTTCGTGGTGTTAAGTAAGAAAGAATACTATTATTATTGGCTTCAGCAGCATTTTTATATGATTGTCTTTTACGACGATGTATGTTTTCAGACATTTTGTTTTGCGTAAATTAGTGTTGGAACACTTGTAGATATAATTAATTCAACGCGTATTACGTTGTTATCCATTTTCTCGAAGTTTTATAAATTTTCTGTGGTAAGTGTCAAGGAGAATTTAATTAATTCGTGAAGGAAAGGATCTACATATTAATAGTAAAATTTCTGGATGACAAAGAATTTTTTTGATACATAATAATAATAATAATATTTGGTCAGGGGAAAATAATAAAATCTAAAAAAATGAAGAATCATTTAATAATATTAATTTGTTTTATGATAATAAGTTCTTGTACTTTTAATACAATATTATGTTCTCCTGATTTAGCTAGTGGAAAATATTTCGATAGGTAAAGAATTCATTAATGTCATTTATGATTAATTATTATTAAAATAATATTCCTCTTCTTGTTATCATAGAGTTATTACAATTGTTTTAGAAAATACTGATTATACTGAAGCAATTAAAGATAAATATTTATCATACTTGGTAATAATAATAATTTTTTGGGAAATTTAAATATTATATATATGTACGTATGTATGTATGTATGTATGAGAGAGATTTATTAATATACTAGAAACTCATTCATTCATATTATGAAAGGCAAATCAGGGAATTTTATTATCAAATTTTCATGGAGTTTGGCATCCTTCACAACCAAATTATATTGCAATGATCCGTGGTTCAAAAGGTGGTGTCGTAAGTAGAGTAATAATTTTATATGTGTTGTTTTAATATTTACGCAATTAATTAAATGATTAATATATTTAATAGATTACAAATTTTTTGCAAGATGTTAACGGCCCTTCACTTCCGGAACTATTGGAGGCAGGAGGGATTTCATGGAAAGCATATATTGAAAATTATCCTGGTAATTAATTAATAATCATTATTATAATAATGACAGTAATGATAATATTAACAATATAGCAATTACATCATATTTATAGGTGGTGGATTTGTAGGAGAAGTGTCAGATGATAAATTATATTATCGTAAACATAATCCTTTCATTTCAATGACCAATATTAGAACTAACCCATCACTAATTAGCAAAATTGTGAATGCTGATCAATTAATAAATGATTTATCGTCATCAAACAATTCAATAATGATTCCTCAATATATATTTTATATGTATGTATTTAGTATATATTTACCTTATTTTTCATTTGTTTATTGGTGGGAAATTTGTTTTTATATTAAGAATGTTATTAATTATAATTTTATTCCTTCACAACAAAAAAAGCCCTAATATTAATAATAGTGGATTGAATACAAACATGAGTTTTTCTAGTGATTATTTGGAGAATCATTTAATGAACTTGATTAAACCTGTTCTATTAACAACCAAGACACTCTTACTAATAACTTACTCAGAATCCAAAAATTATTTTGATCTTAACCTTGTCAATTACAATCACATTTACACCGTACTTATTGGTCCTAATGTATTAAACCCTTATAAACATAAAGATGATCATAAATATAATCATTATAATATATTACCAACAATACAAAATAATTGGAATTTATCAAAATTGGGGACTGGAGAGGATCTAAATTTGACTCCTTTGGATGAATCTTTATTTAAAATATAATACATTAATTAAATTCTAATTTTAATAATTATTTTTCAAGTTTTTTTTTTAATTACAAATCATTTTTGTGTCACAGTCGACTCGAAATATGTTAAAAAAATATTCATTTTCAAAAAATAATAAAATCATGAAAACAAATATTTTATTATTCAACAAAAACACTGATAATGACACAGGTGCTATTAGTAAAAGAAATAATAGCAATGATTATATTGATGATGATTATAAAGATATCGAGAGAATAAAATTATTATTAAAATCATACTTGAATAACTATGATATTAAAGATGTTAATTCAAAAGTTCTAATCAACGAACCTTGGTATAATACAACTGATTTATTAATTATACCAAATAATAATAATAACAACAATAATAATTCATCATCATCATCATCTGATTTTCAAATAAATGATTATCATAGAAAAATTAAAAATTATGTTTATAATGAAGATGGTAAGTATTTAGGAATTGGATTCGGTGCAGAAATTTTTTGTGGATTATCATCACCACAAACACATAATAACAATAATAGTGACCTTAAATTTTTTCTTGGTAATTATTGGAAAAAAAATTTATCATCATCTGTTAATGAAGATTTATCATTAATTTTAAATACTGAAAATAATAAAAAAATCAAAATCAAAAAAACTAAAATTTTAAATTCAATTGGATATTTTGAAAATACTTCAAAGTATTCAAATATTTCAACTATTGCATACATCAAAGAAAATGATGATGATGGCAAAAAGGAACCTGTGATTATTAAATACAATAATATTGGAAAATGCAAAGTTATATTGAGTGGAATAGATTTATTTAATAATGATTTATATTCATTTGATGATAGATTATTATTATTAAATTTAATATTTTCAGAACTTGGTCTAAAAACTTCTAATAATAATAACAAACAACAACAACAACAGCAACAAAATGATTCGATTGAATTGAGTACTACATTATATTTGGCATCTTTAAGACCTTCATTGATTGATTTATTGTTATACAATATTAAACCTTTATTGGATTCTTCTGGGAATTTAGAATTAATTAATAATGAAAAATTTCAATTAATTAGAAATATTAATGAGAAGAGTGAAAATGACAAAAAAATCATTATTTTATATAATGATGGTGATAATGATGACAAAGAAGTAAAATTTAAATATGACAATGATGAATTTTTCAATTTTAAAAAATTTTTTAATATTCTTTGTAATGAAAGAAGTTTATTAAGTAAAGGTGACAACAATTTAGAATTTGGATCTATTTTATTATATGGTGAAGTAGTAACAAGTACTCAAACAATACTTGAAAGGTATTTTATCTTCCTAAAAATTGCCAAAAATGATTAAATCCAATTAATAACTATTCTACCCCTTGTATATAGCAATCTCAAATTGAAAAAGAAGTTACCAAATGGATTTATTTTTTTAACTAATCGGCAAATTCAAGGTCGTGGACGTGGTAAAAATACATGGATTTCACCACTTGGTTGTTTACAATTCTCTTTCACCTTGAATCATTATGACAATCCTACAACTTCTGCGTCCGTAGTGTTCATACAATATTTATTATCATTAGCTATAGTGGAATCCATTAGAACCAAAGATGGTTATGAGGTAATTAGTTAATTATCATCAAGAATTTAATGATAATAAAAAGGTTTTCATTTTTTTTTTTTTTATGAAATGAAATGAATGAATGATACAGGAGATTCCGTTAAGACTTAAATGGCCAAATGACATTTATGCATTTATTGATGACAATGAATTTGTTAAAATAGGTGGTGTACTGGTAAATTCAAATTATATTAATAAAGAATATAAGCTGGTTATTGGTAAGTCACTGTTAAATTAATAAATAGGTTATTGTATTATATTATAATATATTCACATTAATAACTTACCCCAAGTCCTTTTAATATTTAATATAATTTTTTCGTTTTAGGATGTGGGCTTAATGTAAATAATCAATATCCAACAATTTCAATTAATCAATTGATTGAGATTTACAATAAAAAAAACAAAAATGCTGAAGATTTGAAATTATTTTCACAAGAAGAACTTTTAGCTATGATAATTGTAAAATTTGAATATTTTTATAAAGACTTTTGTAACTATGGCAAAGGATTTCGACCTTTCATTGATATTTATTATAAAAGATGGTTACATGAGTAAGTTACTGATATTAATAATAATTTTATTACTTTTGTAAAAAATATTACTATTATTATAATTAAACTTTATTATTTCTGGTAGGAATCAAATTGTAACATTAGAAACTTATAATAACCAAAGAGCAAAAATAATTGGTATAACTGAAGATTTTGGATTTTTAAAGGCAATTTTATTAAATGGTAATAATGATGATGATGATAATAATAATATTAGTATGAACAATAGAAGCAGTATTAGTAGTAGTACTAGTAGCAGTACTAGCAATATTATTACATTACAACCTGATGGAAATAGTTTTGATATGATGAAAAATATGATTTATAAAAAATAATAATAATTGGAATTTATTTAAATTTTTTTTTTTGCTAAAAGAGTTTTTGAAAATCACATTTTTGTTTTACCAGACAAGATATTGAATGAGCATATACAAATGAGAATGTAATGAATCAAAGAATTTTTTAATAAATTAGCCGTGTGAATTGGTTTGGATTGATATTATTATACAGTTGTACCTGTCTATTTGCATAACGTATATTTGCATAATCTGTCTATTTGCATAAGATAGCCTGGTCCCATGTTAGGACCTATGAGCTGTTTGCATAACGTGAACATGCATATGCATCAAAAACAGTTCTGATTCTACTATATCCCACAAACATATATATGCATAGATTGACATGTGTTACTTGTAAATTAATTTTTATTTTATAAATTATTATTTTCAAAAAAACAATCTAGAGTACTTTGTTCCAAGGAATCATTATAAATTTTTTCATTGTATTTTTTACACTAGTTAATTTTTTAATCTCATCTGGACAGTCTTTATGTTGCTGCAACAAGCAAGTCATAACTTTTTCTAAAGCTTCTAATCTTTCCTTAATAGGAATAGCAGGTAACTCACTTTCTTCATCACTATCTTCTTCCTCATTCTGATTTTCATCATTGTTTTCCTCCTGAACTAAACAAATAATTGATGCATCATCTAAAGGCTCTCTGTTTCACTTTCTTCAACAGGGTTTAAAAAATTTTCTGTTGTAATAGGATTTCTATATCTATAAAAGAGTAATAGCATTAACATCAAGAATAATAAAAAACCATATTTTAAATACTTACTTTAAGGCCACAACACCCCTCTCTATGTCAGCAACTAATTCATTATCACTTTCTTGCTCTATTTCTTCTTCATTACTAAAATTAATAATACCTGTATGTCTCCAACAATTAACAATGGTATTGACTGTAACACCATCTGTCCAAGCAAATTTAATGAATTTTATAGCCTCTAAAACATTAAGTCTAGAGGTATCATGTGGATTGTCCTCAAACTTTTTAAGATAATGAACAAACTTATGACAATAATGTTTTTTGAAAGAGGCAATGATTCCAGCATCGCAAGGTTGAAGCTTTGATGTGCAATTAGGTGGTAAGAACTTAACCTGTGTATTTTGCAATTCCATTCCTCTAACTATATGACAGGGTGCATTGTCAAGTAGCAACAACACTCTTCTACCATTCATTCTTTCATCAAATTGTTTTAACATCTACAGTTAAAGCATTTTATAAATAGTAATTCATAAAGCAAACTATCAATTGTGAATATACTTGTATACTACTTAATCTTGAAACAAAACTGCTGTCATCCATGCTTTACCATTTGCTCTATAGACAACTCCAAGACTATTCATAATGATTTTTCCTATACATAGGGGTTTTAAAGATTTTCCAATAATAAGTGTTTCTAGTTTATCAGCTCCATCAGCATTACAGCAAAGTACAACAATCAAATGTTGTTTATCCTTTTTTTTTACCCTCAAGTTGTTTGATTGCTAAAGTTTTATCAGGTTCAAGTCTATGGTCATTAAATTTCATTAGAATTTATTAATATTTTAAGTATGTATAGTTTAGTATTATACTTGCTGAAAGAACAACCCAGTTTCATCCATGTTATATAGATCTTCAGATTTAAAGGTGCTAATGACTGTTTTCAGATCAGGAAAGGTATTTTCAATTGCACTAATATCAGCTGAACCACTTTCTCCATGTAATTGGTATCTTTTCAAATTGTTTCTACAAGTGTGATAATGTGTTATTGATAAGGTTAATAATCCTAGTTCAATATAATACAGAAACATACTTATTCTTAAAGCTTTGAAGTCACCCAGTGGAAAATGACAATGTATCATCAGGTATATTAAGCATCTTTGCAAATGTTTTAGCTTTTTCAATTAAGATTAGGTCTGTTAAAAGAATGTGACCTTGTGAATGCAAACACCATTCTTGGAATGCATGTTCAAGTTCAGGCTACTTCACACTACACGTTTTTTTTGCTGTGGGTTTGCTTCATTGTTTAAATACTCAGATGAACGTTTTAATGTTCAAGAGATAGTTGCTTGATCAACCTTTGCACCAAGTTCTTGTTCACACCAAGCAGTTAATTCTTTTGAGTGATTGTTGGAACATTTTGCTTTTTTAAACAAATTTGATGGTGTTGTTCATTGTTTAAAGTAACCTTTTTCATTGTTAGTAATGTGATGATGACAATATCTATGTGAGTAAATTTAACACTTTATAATTATAAAAATTATTCTAAATGTCAATATCACGAATGATTGTGACGCGTGTTCATTTATAATTTATTCCACGTGACTTTACATTAGATAAACACGTGATAACGTGAATATGCATATTCTGTCTGTTTGCATACATTTGCATACAAACTCATATACTCAAAAGTATGCAAATAGACAGGTACAACTGTACACCTACCTGCCAAAGATATTGACAATTTTGCAGATTGCTAGAATAAAATTTTTATTATCACAATTGCTTTTGTATACAGTGCAAGACACTTAGTCCTACAACTTTTATTGATCTTGCTGATCCCCCAACTCCTCCAAAAATGGAATGCATGACCAAAAAAACAAGATGTATGAAGCTAAGACCTTTTTCTACCTTCATTTTGTTATATGTCATGTGGAGGAATTAAGCTAAAAATGGGAATTGTAAGTGATTGGCATTATGAATGAATTTATAGATCTCAGCATAAGATCTATATCCAAGTTAAATGATTGCAATGAATGATTGCAGGATAAATGCATAAACAGGAAAAGGGATTTAATCAGGAAAGAAAACAGCGAGATAAGGAAAAAAAAGCAGTGGGACTGTGGTATAAAGCTAGCCAATGATGAGAATCAGAAACAGCATGCCCACAATCTGGAAATTATTAATGAGACCAAGCAATAGAGCTTGCATGAGCCGGCTCACAAGCCAGCTCATGAGGAGCTTTACCAAGCAATTAAAGATAGAAAATATTACCCTTACATCTTGGGATGGCTGCAATCAAGAATCTCTCATTAAATATTGTGACAATTTACAGATAAAAATGGAAGAAGTGAAATTGCTCAAATCTACAATAAGGCCATTAAAGAAGGAGTTGGAATTGGCCCAAGAAAACTCATCTCTGAAAGTATCCAAAACCAAGACTCCCAAGACCAGGTTATCTGAAGTGGAGCATCTACTGAGAACCTCAAGACCAAATTATCTAAATTGGAGTGGAGCTGGTATCAAAAGAATTGATAATACAATCTCTAGAAACTAAGTTATCATCAGAACCAGTCAAAATCAGTAGCAAGACAGATGAAAAAAAAAATACTGATTTCTAAAGATATCTCTCCAGGTAGTAAACCTATAAAAAATTTCTACACAAAAAATATATGGATACAACTGAAAAAATCAGCAACAACCCTTCCTCAAATATAGATAATAATTCTTCCCTTCATATAAACCCAGAGTCAGTAAAAATTAGTGCGAATGAGGTATCCATTTTTTAGTGGATGTATCTGCTGAATGATTATTCACCAATTATCTAGTTAATTGGGTGCTGAAAATTTTTCATTAATTAATCAGGTGTTGAAAATTTTCACTAAATAATTGGTGAATAATTGATGGTACAGAATATAAAAAATAAAAATATCATTGAATTGCAATTACACAAAGAAGTTTAGTAATAGCCTATTCATCCTGATCCACATAATTGAAATTTCTTTGTTATCATCAATTA